CAATTGAAATCAGGAACAGTAGTAACTTTTTCCAACTTAGAATGAAGGACTCTGCCAGTGACGAGAAGTGTCTTTAATAGGAGGGTGCTTTCGCTCATCAATAATGACCAATTGAATGCTTGAAGGGAAGGTGAGCATAAATGGGCGAAGGAACATCTTCTGAAAATCATTATGTGGTACAATCAATGACAACTTCTACGAACAGTCTCCATATATAGTTCACAAAGACAAACTGGAGGTGAAGTTCACGAAATATAACCAACACGTCGTCTTCGTCTTCGTCTTCATCAGTCCATGCGTCTTCGACTTTCTTCAATATGAGTTGTCCCATACGGAGCTTACCCTAAACAGGAGGGTACCGTCAGGGTTTCGATGGTCTACATCCAGTCCCAACAAGCAGGACCTGGATAGTGGAACCCTAGACCTTGAATGCCTGTCACGGTTCCTGAGAACAACGAATCACTTTAAGTTCTAGAAAGACGACCATGTGCTATGGAGTAACTATAGTCTGTGCTTGAAACATTCAGAAATCTGACTATCATTTCGACCCTACTTTTCGAGCAAGCATTCATTCCTCGGAGTAGCAGCTTGAAGCTAATGTCGGTTTGAATCGCCGTCCTTTTGCAAGTATGCGGAATATATGTTGTATCCAGGAGATGACTAGAAACTTAAATCTTGATCTCGACTATTTCTCTCCGTGGTAAACTTGCTTTCTGGATGCATCCAAGTGCACATCTATTGAGCTTTCCAGACCAGAGTGGGCGATGTTGAAGACCTCGATTCACTGAGTTTCAAAGTGTCTTCCGGTTCTATTGGAAAGAGAATATTGACGAGCTACGTCGGTGATTAATCTGGTTTCTCTGCTCTTTGTATGTGGCCCCTCCCTCCCCTCCCCCTCCCCTCCCCTCCCGCCAAGTTGCCTACTCGGTATAACCGGTAATCCATGCACGAAGTGATAATGCGTCACAGGGGATACACCGTGTGCCTATAATTGAGGAGAGGTCGTCTGTAGCAGGTGACCGGTAATACACCGTTAAAGTTGCAGAAGCGTACGTTTGCAGTTCTGCGAAAGCGTGCGGACTGCTCAGAGACAGTTCTCTGTCACTTTGGTCACGATTCCCGAATCCGGACGACCTAAGGCCGTGTTTCGAAAGAAGTGTAATGTCGGCAATCCTACGGGGCCTACCGCAATCTAGTGCTCTGGGTGATTCAGAAACGAGTCTCCCTGACTCTTTCCAAGTTGTGATTAGCTTCACAATCTTATTTCTTAAAAACGTGGATTCTTTGAAGATTCAGAAAGGAGTAAATAGTTCAAGAGAATTTACGTTACAGATTATTGTGAAATTGCAAGAGTTTCTGTTTTACTTAGTAAAGTGTGTGTCAACCGGTCAATTAAAATTTGCCCTCCATTTGCAACACATGTTCCACCGAGTGGGAAGAGATATACTAAACTGTTCAACATAGTCAATATCAAAATTCTTATCATTCTGTAACATCGTGCTGTGTGAAGTGGATGTCCAGTACAGGTTTGGCAATCATATCCATGCCGAAGCCAGATGCCCAACCTCTGCATACATCCCCACATTACTTTAACATGCGAACCCGATCTCGCATACTTTGTCTAAGCGAGTACGACTTTTGCAATATGGATGCGGTTATTTGTTAAAAACTGGAAGGAAGTAAAATACTGTTCTCAAAGCCCAGAAATCTTGAGGATTACTTCATAATGTCGGTGCATTGGACAATAAGTTTGGATTTTGATCATCTTGTGTAGCCTTAACTGAGACCTGAGAGGATCTGTCTAAAGAGGTACGGAGTTGGCACAACTTGAAACACAACAAAACCAGCTCAGATTGATTGATGGATTGCTGGTGCAATGCTGCATTTACTTGAAACAGATGGAGATTCAAAATTTTGAATTGAGACCCTTACTTACCGTGTACGTTGGGATTAAGGATTTTTTTACAAGCCTTCAACAATAATGAGGAATTTCTCACTGTAATTACGTGGACACGGATCATAATACCCTGCTGCATGATTGCAACAGGCGTACCTTTGAGACTTTCCACAATCACCGACAGTCGATTTGAAAATTTCCATCTGCAGAGTGCATGATGTTCCATTATAATTCGCTGAGGGATATTTCCAACTTTTGAAATTTAGGATTGTCCATAACCATTAAGAAGAGTTCTTAAACTTTACATAGAATTGATATAGAAGAAATAGTCAGAAACTTACGGGACTACTGGAATACCTCCCCCGATCTTCGACTTATTCCTAAATGTTTCTAGCGATCGTGGATAGTGGTCGGTAATTAGTATCGTCTTGGGAACTGTATGACCATACCCATGTCGAGGGTAAGTAACAGCAGGGTGAGTAGAAGTATTAAATGCCAATAATTAGGAGCTGATTGTGCTACCCATTCATACATCCCTCGTCGTGTCATATAAGATTTAGGGACCAGATAGGAAGCCAACACATTTTCGTTACAATAAAGTTCTAATAGGGTTTTCAGATATAATCTCGTTACGAAGCCAACATCAAAAACCAAACTATGAACTAGCCATCAGGGTGAAACATTCAGCTACTTTTCTAAGTATGCTTTGTGTGCACTCCAAATATATAGAGGAGTACATTTTTCAGCCAATTTTTTTGGTGAAAAGTTTTAACTTTAAATTAATCCGTGAATACTACCTTCATTCAAGAGATGGGATTATAAAGGAAGATGATGAAAATATGCTAGTTCAATGATTGTCTATCGAAACGTAATTAGTGAGGTCATTCTAAGGTAAGACTATCATTACGGGTGGTTACTCAGTTCTCTACTATTGCAATCTGCTCTCCCTAATATTACTTCAAGCTTTCAAAAGACCACTAAAACTGAATGAACATTCGTAACTTATGTATGTTTTATGCGATATCCCAACAATCAATCCACAGGCCTTCCTAGCGTTCACAGCGCATTTCTTTGTACGTTTTATTTAATTTTCTCCTTCATCACCTCTCTCATAAGATCTAACTGTTTTGCCTTGTACTCATCACATATATCAATCAAGAACTGCGGTCACTTACTCGCTTATATATCAAGCCTACTTGTATATTCAAATTCTATTTTGTAAAGATGCACTTGACACTCCAAAGTTCATGTTGCAGTTGTTCATTCTTCGTCTTTGTGAATTCTATCTTTCCTTTTCTAATCTAAATAATTTTTTTGTAGACTAGCTCGCCATCTGCTCAACCTTCCATGTCAAAATTTTTTGTTGCTCTAAGCGCTAATTCGCCTAGGTCGAACATCAAATAATCTCAGATTGATCATCTTTATTTTGAACAATATGGTAATTTCTTTATTTAAGATCCAAACAGACATCCTCTAGGCGATTCTATCCACAAATATAGACTTGACCCAACTCCTTAAGCTTCATAAACATGGTCAAGGCCATTGTCTAAAAGGTAGTTCAGAGGTAGAATAAAGTCAATCTGCTACCAATCTTACAGCCTTTCATCTTTGGACCAAAAATCTTTGGGTTGGTACCGGGAGAGCTCACCACGTCCCTCATCTTCCTTCATTTTGGTAGATTTGACTAATGGGTTCGTCCCACACTTTAGTTTCGCATTAGGCTAGATTTGCCAAGCTCATTTCACATGTCATCACGTCTAAGCTCCCGTATAATGTATTCCAAGCCCTCGAAAGATGGCGTCTCTACTTCAAACCTTCGTCCCGTGCATCCAATGTGCTATGATGGGAATGGGTCCCAGGCATTGCTGCGGCTTATGTACCGCAAAGAGATGAGAATTGTTGAAGTATATAAAGATGTTTTGAAGATTTATGACCACATTGTTGATAAACGGACGTCATGGAAAGTAAACTGTTATTGTGAAATAATCTCAAGTCCATGTAATGTAAGGTGAGCGTGTGAAATATACTTTCATATATTCTCGACATCAAGTCTTTGGCTGTAACAAAATGTTGTGTAATATAACCCAACTCGACAGACTGCATCGATGGGACAAGGTGGAGTATCAAATCGCAGTGGTCAAGTTAGGAGGATACAATCTACAGATCAGAACAGCTTTTTGCTGCTTTCGGATTCTAGTCCTGCTTTTGGAGATAATATGGGCCTTGCGAGAAAGTTATCAAGCGCATCGTACTGTCAATTCTGCTGACATATTGTTGGGTAACTACTAAACATCGCGACACCAAGTGATACAGGAAAGAAGGAAAGATGGTACGGCCTCACCAAGTCGGACATGGATGAATCCGAACGGTTTAGATGGGGTTGGCCCAATAGCATCAAGAAGAAGATTATATCCTACTGCGCCTAAAACTCACCCTTCAAGTAATTAAATTACAACACCGCCTTGGGATGATTCCTGTCTCATCCGGATCAAACGGAACCTTCAAAGTGACCATTGCTGTGTAGGTTCTCGCATATGGACACGTGCTGAACATGGATGAAAGGGACTTGTTGAAAGAATGAAACACCGAGTCCTGAACTAATCTGGTGTTATTGAGCGTTATGCAGATTGTGCAAACATTACCACCAACGCAATCACAGTTCACAATTCTCTTTCTCCAGAAGATTGTATCTGGCCATTGTAACCTCGCATATCCGGTTGTTGAATGCGGAAAGAGATTAAAGCTGATCAATGTCTTGCTTGGCTAACTTTCTCCATACTCAGAGTGGTGGTTAGCTATAAGGCTCCGTCAGGAGCTGGACCAGTGTGAATCTTTTCAAAAGCTTTAACAATCAGTTTGATGTGATCTAAATAAATCTTTTAGATGACTTCGTTTTAAGATAGGCGGGCAGTGGTCTCAAGTGATAGTTTGGAGTTCTAGACAAGCTCTACAGCGTTCCGGAGCAATCTAGCAAACACTGGCACAGTGCGAGACTGACAGGTACTACATTTCATGACCAAACTGGTTATTGCAGATATACGATCCGTACTAGTCTGGGAATTTGAGTACATCGTCCAATCAGTAAAATTTCATGCAGCCAGTGTGGTTTGAAAAAGTACACGTCCTCCATTAAAAAAAAAGGGCGACATTAGATCTTGAATTAGTTCTAAGAAACACTACAGTTCTTTCCGATGTGGAAAGACAGACAACACACAAGCTGCTAGTTCTATGTAATCTTTTTACCCTGTGCACAGAAGGGGTTACCACTGTTAATTTTCGTGTAATAAGTGCACATAACAAGGGAGACATAATTACTTCAGGCTCGAGAGTTTACAATTTTCTTCTCGAATATTACTTGAGATGTGGAGAGTGCACAGCCAAGCTAGGAACATGCACTTTTTGGAATGTGAATGCAGGTAGGATCACTAAAAATAACATCATTGATCAGGAGAGATGGACAATATCATCGGCCGGCAATGAGGGTCATGTAATACAGCAAGCCGGTATATCACAGAAATAGGCTAGAAAGGATCTAGCTGCCTCGAAGCTACAGCAGATCTCTGTACAAAGAATCGAGAAGACCGATCTTCGGATATGACGATCTAGGATAATGGAGTGGAATTGAGCATGAAAGGTACACTGACCAGGTCTCGAAGCTGGGCACCAGGAAGCCGAAACGTTGCGAAAATTGAACCAGACTTGTACCCACCGTATGAAGTATGCTCAAATGTTTCATGAGTCAAATACTCGTGACTCATGAAAATATCACATCGGATCGCATAACGTACTTTACACCTTTTGCAACAACCTTTGCTTCATGCAGCATGCAATGCTGCCCATGAATGTGGAACAGAGCCATACCAGCAACAGGAGGTACCTGCAATTACCGAAAATAGCAAAATTATCTGGAATTAATTAAGCGGATGACCGTCGGACTGAATCTGAACACACAATCTTCATCATATTAGTCTCGCCTGCAGCATCTCATGTCTGAGTTGGGGTAGTAGACAAATCTTTGTAGTAGCAACACGGGCCACTCACGTAGGCCCATGAGTAAAAAAGGACGAGTTACCTCAGCAACCACACGTCGTCTATTATAAAAAACCGTTTCACCTCCGAGTAATTCCTCTCGGCTCGCCTTTCCCTCAGTACTAGATTCTTCACCGCCGGTAAGGTAGATTAGCAGAGTGTACTCCGTGGCAAGTCTCCCGCCAAGTTCAACACTTTCATCGATATGTTGCCCGAATCGTTGACCTGCAGTATACCTGTGGGGATACACAGGATCAGATAGGAAAGAAATCACCGTGAAACATTCCAAACAGCAAACGCCATCAGCTGCAAAAGCTGAAATTTCTAGACTGGATCTTTCAACGTCAAGACAATTACTTCGGGACATAGTTCTTGCTCAACGATAATCGTCAAAGGACCTACTTGAAAACTCAGCTAGGAATGATATACTTCCATGAAAGAGTGGCACATAATTCAATAACTTTCGCATCTGCTCTATAATTCAATGCCCTCCCTAAAACTACCTAAACAAAGCCCGTCCATTACAACGAGCGATCATAACCTCGATATTTTAGCAAAAGCTGCTTTGTTCTTTACAATACTTCACAAACAAACTCGAGTTCGGGTCTCATGAGCACTTGGAAGGATACATCACATAGCTGTTTGTTGACACTCATCAACAACTAATCAGCTAATAGAAAATGGATGTCACATCAAGCAGGCGATAATTCGAATAAAAAGTTTAACCTACAGCAACAAAATGAAGTACAGCGCAACAAACCTGTAGAAACGAAGATTCGGATTAAGCCCAACTGCTCGTCTACCATGGATCTCGATATCGTTGAAAACAGAGCTAAGTCCAGCTTCCCACAGCTTTTCTGCTAAGGCTGGACTTTGTACAGAAACACGGCCATTATCTCTGAATGCCTCGCCATAAGCAGGTCCTCGGCTGCCTTGGTGCTGGAATCCAAGTGATACTGCACATTGTATAAAAGCTTCACACTCTTTGATGGATAAATAATTGGGCACCTGCAAGACATTACACTCGTCGTCACTAAAAATGAACACAATTCAATCAAACTTTGTCAATCAATGTATCACAAACATAATTGGGATTCCATGTGCCTTCAGGATTCAAGCAAAAGGGATCATCATACGCTACTGATGCCGGATGCAAGACCTAACATCTTCCGATTGGGATATCAAAATGCCATAGTTTGCGAAACTCATCAGGCATTTAATCACCATCCTCCCTCAATCTTCATGTGTTGAGAGGAGATAGGCCTAAATACAGCGTGGATAATGAGAGTATGCAGAATCTCCGTTTTCAGGCGAGTATGCAGAGTCAGGGAAATTCAAAGTAAGAATTGAGATTCTCGACTAGAAATTCACCTGCACCAGGAGAGACTGATGCAAATCAGATGATTCCTCGTTCCTTCGTCCAAGAGAGTAACAGACAAAAACTGAAGATATTAACTCAACAAACACGATGAGAGAAGCGGGAAGGCGGGAAGAGCTGTTACAGTACTGTAAAAAGATCCAACTGGCGAAGCTCATTCCTACTCAGGATCGCGCTACGCTTTTTCAGAGCCGGCCACGGCTGCGCAGTACTACCTCCGCTTGCACCTGCCACTGCTTCGCCCCCTCGCTCCTGTTCTTGTACTTGATTGCCCTTCACCTTCGCCCCAGCTCTCTTCCCACCCGCCATACCTGAACCCGTCCACTTCTTAGAAAGTTCCACAATTTTCAAAAAGTAGGAATGCAAAATTCTGGCGCATAATTAACGTCACCAGTTGGCTACTGGAGCGAACTAATCAAGCTCATTAGAGACAGCCTCGGATTCCAAGGGTACAATGGCGCATCGGCTTGCATCGATTTCTACAAAGTGCTCGAGGATTTAGTAAGCAGGCTTACTCGCAGCCTGTTTGGCGTGTATCTGATGGACAATGTGGTGGGAGATCTGAGTCACGCTCTTCCACGTTATGTGCTGTCTTCGGAGAAGGTCCGCAGGCCCAGAAAAATTGGACAGCAATGGATTCGATGACGTGATACTTCCAAGATTCATCGTAGTTCGTTCGGAATTTTGCACGGCTGTTGCGTAGCCCACTTCGCGCACGGTCCACTTGTCCTGAGGCCCAGGGATTAAACAGTACAAAGCTCCTGCAGACATTTTAATTCCGTTTATAGAGTTGAATGTTGGCAAAAGAAGCTTTCAGAATTTGCAGAATAATATCCTCCTTATGGAATTCTTGTTCACTCCATGTACCGAAGATCGTCCTTCACTTTCACCCTTCTCTTTCCGGCGTGTGGATGACGTTACACAAAGGGGTTGCAAGAATTTATCCAATACTTTACCTCATGAAGGAAGGGCAGGAAGATGAACTTCCGATGAGTCCAGGAGTGGACCACGATGATGAGGGTTCAAACGTTTAAGATTTATGTGATGTTCACGTTTATGTCAAAATCTCGGCATCTTTGGATGAATGACCACTTCTATACCATCTACTTCCCACGTTCTTCCACTTCAAAATGAGTTTGTTCGTATGTTGCACCTGAAGGTAATCCTAATGTTGTACGATAGTAGCCTTCCCTTTCACCAATGGATTGTATTGGCAATATAATTGGATTGGCCAATTGCATTAGCCAGACGTGATTTGATGAGTAGCTAAGTTCTAGTAATTTTCCGACTTTTCGAAGGGATAGGTACCATCTTGGTAAAAAAAATTCCTAGTATGTCTTGAGCCACCTCTGCTAAGACCATGAAAATGTCTTGGAAAACTCGTATGGGGTGCAGTACGCTAAATATGCTAGATATACAACCCCACATTAAACCACGCCATACCGTGATGCTCATAGAAAGAATGCGGCTTGGACAAGAACGCAAGCAGAAACATTCTTACACCACCGCCGTAAGTGCCTTCTTGGACACTTTCACAAGCCTTGAGACGAGAACTGCATAAAACATTTCACTCATCTTTCGACCTAGTTACTTCTTCTTATGCAATAGTCTCTTGCTGAGCACCATAATGTTGATAACTTGGAGTTACAAATTATACAAAAGGATCCGGAACACGTTAACGGTTTCATCCATGCCGCTCAGATGCTTTCTTGGAGCATAAAAGAGGATAGAGAGAAAACCGTGTCAGTTTCTCAAGTGGACAAGAAAACGTCGTGTGAAATCCTCTCTACTCTTCGGAGAATCATCTTTACTGATTCACTGGACCTGGCCGACTTTCTACTTTTGCATAAGGTCAGATGAAAAATCGTCAAACCGGAGCACTATGTTATAACAATGACGTCGAGAGCGAGTCAGAAGCTGAAGTACATAGAGTGAAGACGATGATTCCGGATAGATCAAAAAAAAAAGTGAATGCAGTAAATTCACCACTTAGAACTCTACCCTCCTCTCAGAATTTAATCCTGAGAAAATACTTCGTCCATAATTGCATGCATACATGTTGCATAACTGCTGAAAAAATGTATACCGCCTGTACAGTGTCCTATCCAGAAGTCCCAACGTCGAACTCTAGTGATCTGCACTTCAGCAGTAGGAAAGTAGCTTCAGTACTTCAAGACAGTCAAACTATTGTTTATCTTATCTTACAATGTAACAACTTGCAGTATCTGACTACAGCACTTTTTTTATGCAACGACTTTTATTTATCAGTCTAGAATTGATGAAACAGGAGCCTTCACTATTTTAAGAGTTCGGCAAACTACGGTGGCTGAATTACTTTGACAAGTCAGCAAAACCTACCATATATGGTTCTGTAACTTCAAGCAATCTTACATGTGAGACGAGATCGATATGCAATCTCGGCATAGACGCAAATTTTATATGCTTGCGAGCTCAGCTGCTGGTTTCTTTTGCCTAGCCTTCACATTCATGAAGAGTCCCTGCACCAAAAGAACCAAACTTCAGAACCTGCCTGTAATCAGATAAAGGCCGAATTTTCCGAAATCGTGAATCTCGGCACTTCCCTCCAGAAGCGTTCTTTTGACGGGAAACGCAAGCAATCAAGCAGGCAAAGGATCCGAACCCTCGACCAGAGGTAAAATGGTAAAACCAAAGAAGCAAGGAAGCAGTGGACACAAATTTAGACCACTTTGCACTTTCATAGACTCACCGAGGTGGTGTGGATGGTGGCTCCAGTTGTCATCCCTATAGTCTGGTTGGGGACAAGCGAAAAGTGGAAGCGTTGAAGAACCACGGCCAGAGCGACAATCGCTTCCAGCATGGCAAATTGGTCCCCAACGCACTTACGAGGACCTCCGCTGAAGGGTATGTATCTGCAGATTGTCCCAATGCAGTAAGAGAGGAAGACAACACATTTCACTTGAAGACAATCAAGCTCGCCAAGTTCTTTAGTAGACAATGTAAATGTCCATCTCCAGTTCTATATACAGTCGATCTAATCCTTCTTGCTAGATCTCAAGAGGATTCAGAGAGAAATCAAAGCATTGAGTCCACTATAACAAAGCAAGGTCCATAAGATTGTACGTTCTCTGGACACCGCACAATACCAAGGAGAATATTATCGCTACTGGGAAGATTTTTCAAGTTCCAAATACCATTAAGTCTAGACTTTGTGTACATCCACTTAAGGTCTTCAAGGCCTTGTTACTTGCCTGTAATCTGTGTTGCTCTCATTAGGGACAGGACCCTCCAGATCAAACCTCTCAGGGATGAACTCTTCTGCTCTTTCCCACACCTGCAGTGAAAGTATAAGTTTAGAAGTAAAATTAGGATCTCCATTTGGTAACAGAACCTTACGCAGTGATGTCATTTTCCATCTTTGGGAAGTAAGGGAGGTGATTCTGCAATGAATTCTTCATAAATGCAACAGAGGCAATACACTTCACTGCGCAGAAAGATTTTTCTTACAGCAGGTGAGTGGTGAATATTATAAACAGATATCATAACGTCTTGTCCAGCTCCGAGTTTGTAACCTCCAGGCAACGTATCTGGCGCATTGGCTCTTCTGATCAATACCTGCATACATGATCCTCACATGTGATACCACTCGAATAAAGGATCGAAGGTGAAATCTTCTTTCCACAGGACCGACGGGCCATTAACATAAACGACCAAACAAAAAGAGAACTGAACCACACAAGTGACCAGTTCGTACCGGTGGATGAGGATACAATCGCATAGACTCGTTAATACACCGAGTTAGGTACTTCAAGTTCTTAACGTCCTCCATTGTGGGATTTCTACCCCCCAAAACTGTATCGAGTTCTTCTTGCATTTTTTGGTAAGCTGAAGGATTCTGTGAATTCAACATCTTTCATCAGTAACGCAGGATAGAATCTGCAATCCACAAGATTCTGAATTCCAAATGAAGAAAAAGCCTAGAACCAGTTCGCATAAATTTTCACTCAAGTTACGAACAAGCACCATGTTTCCTAGCTGAATTTGCTTCTATGGAAGCTGGAAAGTGAGATGCCTGATCGAGTGAACCAATTGTTTCACTATTTAAGAACAAGAAGAACACCAACAACAACAAAAATATGTTTGTGGTTCAAGGGTCAATAACCTTGCTTAACAAATAGACGGTCCAGGTGAGGACGGAGCCTGTGGTCTCGTGCCCTGCTACAAGCATAGAAAGGAGGTCATCCCGTAACTGGGTGCTCGAGACCTGCGCCATTGAAATGGGGACAATAAAATGGACGTAAGAATCTTTCAAATTGATCGAAGCGGCGTTAAGTCCACACTCCTCCAATTTAATAACAAGTTCAAATGATCAGATGCAACATACGAAGAATTATTATTCTTCGTATGCGTTGGAAAGGTTGACACAGAAAATAAAAAGATAGAGCCAATAGGTCGTATGATAAGTCGGAGCTGTACCTCTTCACGACTTGCCAGGAGGAAACGAAGCACTGAGGGATCTGCTTCGTTGATATATTCTTCACCCTCCAATCTCTCCCCTTCTTCATCCACAATTTTCTTACACTTCGCTACCAGGTCTTCGACAGTTTCTCGAATAAGCGCGACTGCCTTTGCAGCTTTCTGTTGCCTGGGTACTATTTGGCACAAAAAAGGCACCTGTAACGCGACAACAGTGCCATCAACATCTTTCCCTGCACACAATTCGTTCACATGTGTCCTGAAGTACTGCGCCTTGTTGAATGCAGGAAATTACTGTCGACACATAAGGAGGACAATTATGACGACGAAACCAAAAATTTGTCTAATTTCCTGTTAACAATAAGTCAGGCTGTGTACGGTGAAAGCTTTGTATCGTGTGTGTACTTCCTAAGTCCTTGATCAAATATAGTCATGTGATGTCATAAACAAGAAGCACATTCTGAGGTAAGATGAGGTCTGGGATGGCGCTGACGACAACTGACCTGCCAGTATGGTAGTATGTCTGTGGATCTTGACTCTGTTTCCTTCAAAGCCGTGTAAACAGCTTCTATGACCGGACTATCTGATGTAAGAGAATCGAAGTCGTAGTTGAAGACGGACAACCCGATAACATCCAGGGTCAGCTGAGAGAATCTTGCTTCCATGTTCACAGCTACACCTTTCTCGTCAGCAGCCTGTAATGTGTCCACGAGTCTCTCCGCACATCTACAAAACACGCGATCCACCATAGTCGCCAGATACTTTCGATGGAGAGATGGGACTACCGCTCTCCTGCGAACCTGGAATGCATCGATGCGGCAAAATAATATTGTCTGAGAAGTCATAATGATGGGAAATATTTACTGACAATAAGCCTCCTTCGTGAAGTGTTGTCTGGAGTATATGAGCTTGAGCTAGAAAAACCAACAACACTTCAATTGGTAACTATCAATCAGAAAGCAACGAGTAAACTAGCCAGAGAGAACAGAGTTCGTGTTCAAGCATCTGATGCTTGTTAATGCAACATAAATCTCCTCCTCGAGAGAAATCCAAGACTGTATATATACTCTTGGTAACCAACTGCAAGGAGCGTTAACGAATGATCAATGTACAGAGGGGTTGCACCAAGAGGGAATCTGAAAATTTACTGAGTTCCACGGACATCGGTTCAAAGAAAGTCAAATGATACTGAGCATCGATACTAGACCGAATTGGAAATAGACGAGAACAAGTATTCTTACAGTCCAGAGCTGGTTCTCTGCAATGGCAAATCCCGAACCGAATAAAAACTCAGCCACCTCTGCTACGAGCCCCTTCGCGTACTTTGTTCCATAAGCTCGCAGCACATGCTTCGCCATCTGGGGATCACTGACAATCACGAAATTCCTCGGTCCTGCTGCCAACCTGTAAATTGGGCCCGACTCTTTCATCCACTTGAACAAAGGCAAGAACAGAGCTCCGCCCAGAAGGTCCTGCACATCCTCCAATTTTGCGTCAGCTATAGGAATACCTGATTCATCCTTCCCCTTCACCATCTGTACCAAACCAGTTAGCCAGTCCGGGCTGACCCACGATTTTCCCGCCCCCTGTTTATTCAGCACTTTGCCACTCTCTTTCTCCATATCCGAGCGAATCACCTGTCTTGCAAACCTGGACGCGGCCCCATACCCATTGCACTCCATTCTATTGAAATCCTGTCTCGGACTCGGTAGAGAGCTAGAGAATCCGACATTCCGAAGCCCACAAATTCTGCTGCATTGCAGAGAATTTGCCACCTTCCCACACCTTCTAGCGGAGGAAGAAGGACCCAGTGAGCGTCTAGAGGAGAATTGCACGGGCAGCATTTGCGCCATGGATGCAGCCATTGGGAAGCCCAGCAGCCGCTTCGGTGTCCAGCTCGGGAATCAACCCCTGCTAATTCCAGTAAGCGCAACGACTTGATATTCACCCAACGCTTCACAGCGTCACAGAACCAGTTTTTTGTGCGCTATCATCTGCTTCTCTCTGAGCGAGACAGAGAGCGGGGATGACAGTGATAACAGTATTTGTGACTCGGGAACCATGCACAGTGTGTATGGGAGTTCCGTCGTCGGAGTGGATAGGCTGCCAGCTTCCGCGGGCCATCTGCGATCTCCTAGGCGCTATAACCTCACGGGACGTCAGATTGACTGATTCGCTTGCCACTAAAGACTGTAATCTTGGGTCAACTTTTCAATCAAGGATCGAATGATTGCTCCGTTACGACCTCCGGAAACGACAGGGGACTTGTTTTTGTTCACTGAGAGGATGGAAGAGATCTCGGTGGGCACATTACAAACTCGGAGAAAACTCAACAAGCGAAACAACAAAACACTAAAACAATATAAAACACACACAAGGTCACTCCATGTTTTGTTCAATAGTTATGGTGTGTGTTCACCATAAATCACCGAGTCCACGTTCCATATCTTGGTAGGGAACAAATGAAAATGAATACGAAGAGAAAGAAGAAATTTAATGATAAATTGGAGCCATATGTCATCGGATTGCATTATGATTTTAAACATATTTCATATACCACGGTTTTCTTAAATTTTATTCTTTACAAACATTTAAGAGTAGTATATACCCTGGATTATAGGGAAGCAACAAGTAAGGAAAAAAATGGCTACATAGTTGCAAAAAAGCATGACATTTTGAATCTTCATTGTGACAAAATGATTATTTTACATCTATGTAGATTTTAATAGTTTAGCATTGATAGATTTCAAAGTTTAGCATATTGCCATTGTGTATGTTTGTGATCATTTCTTATATATGTTGTGTTTGATGATAGAACTATTAGACTAATTAGAATTGGCAATAAATTAAAACGAGTTGAAATATTTTTCAGACTGATCTTTTAACAACACAATTATTACAGATGTCTTATTACGAGTTTTGCATTAGAATATAAGTTGAATAAACTAGCAATATTGATATCAGTTTAAATCATCTCATATAAATTTACTAATCAAGGTAAATGTTTAAATTTATTTGAATGCAAATTTAAGTTCAATTTTGCATATCTTTCAACAAAGTTTCTATTTTGCTAAGATGAGTATTTAAAAATCAATAAGTTGTGATTCTGAGCTTAAAGGTCTTATTATTCATTTTTTTAAATGTGTAAACATAGAAGTTTTCTTTAATCACAAATTTTTCTATTTGCATCAAAACTTTGAACCTTTCATTTTATTGCATGAAAAAAAATTAAATCATATATAAATTTTTTAATATACAAATCAATTTATCTTGATAATTTTTTTAAAACAAAATAATTGTCTCATGTAAATTTTGTGCATTAGAGATTCATGAAAGTTGTGATAAATTTTGTTCATTTTTATGTAGATTAATTTTTGCAACAAGTACATATCATTTTATTTTAACTAAATTGCATACATGTGTAAACACTTTATTGTTGTAGTTTACACCCATCTTTAATCTTTATTCATTTTCTCCATTTGAATATTTCTTATTTCAGCTCATTAATCTTCAACTTGTACATTCGCTAACTATCAATCAACAATTATTTTCTTGAAATCATTCTAGCTTACACAATTTTTAAGCATTTCAAGCTCTATATTGTAACCATCTTTAGTTAGTTAGAACTAAAGTAGAGGTTACTCTGAATATTGATGTAGATACTTTAGTGTGCACTAGTCATAGCTGCCACGTCAACGATCCGCGCACTTGGTAGGTACTGAGTGGATGTGTTAGTTGACAGTGCCACGTCAGCAATCCGTGTGCTTGTAGGTAAGGATTGAGTGTGTTAGTTAGTGTGTTAGTTGGGTGCGCCACGTCAGCGATCCGTGTGCTTGTTAGGGTTATCCGCCACGTCATCCATCCACTAGGAGTGGTATGGATGGTGGGGATTAGATCTTATCACCTTGTACTTGTTGGTGAAAGCTATATAAGGGAGAGGAGAACCATTGTTGGTATCTCTCATCTTCAGAGTTTACGTTTCTATCTTCGAGTGAACTTCTCTCTAGACCCTAGTGTTACAATGGTATCAGAGCGACCTTGCTCTTTCCTTGAGTGTGGATTACCCCTCATGGAATAGCAAGTGAGTGATGATGGAGTGTAGTCTTGAGAGTGTATAGAGGCTGGCAGAGGTCATTCATCTGCATGTAGAGAGAGGTGGAAGGGGGAAATTGTGTTTTTGCAGATATGGACGGGATTGACAGGAATCCAGTACCGCATTGGCCAATTCCTAACCTATTCGATATTCACCTTCGTTGCATGGAGAAACATCATTTTCGGATGTACCTTGTGGCTTGTTGGGGTGCAGATTTTATGACTAGAGTGATGGAGTCAAGAGTGCCACTGATTCTTCCAATAGTTACTTATGGAGAGACTTAGGATTGTACTATATACATTCTATACTGATTGTTTCATGGATTTGAATCGCGAACCACCTGTTCCGGTTCGATTCAGCACTTATGTAGAGATTAGAACAGTATATAGACAGAAGAGGATATGGAGAGATTTTCTTGTGAGGAATTATGGAGAGGAGTACTATAGAGCTGTGATAGAGTCACCTGCACCTTTTGTGACTCCTTTGTTGAGAGGTCACATAGTGATTATACTCACTTTGTATCAGAGGGAGTGTGAAAAAGCATGGGAACATCAATTGATATGGGTGAGGTTCTCAATGCAATCATGGCGGAGATGAAGGAGTTGAGAAAAGCGATAGTAGATGGGCATACCAAGCAGCAAGCCATGGAAGATAAAATCTTTGCATTAGAGAGTGAGAAAGTAGAGAGAGAGAGATAGTTGGAGAGATGGAAGTTGAACCTCAAGTTCAAGCTTCCCAAGTTCAGCCAGAACCAACTCCTATTGATGCAGCAGAGGCAAATAGGAGACGTCTTCAAGAGATTGAAGATCAAGCAAATCTTTTGCTTCGAATGGAAAAATCCTGTAAGGTGGAAGCTTACAAAGGGAGTAGAGCAATGGGAGTGTTAGAGGGATGGATTATGAGGATGAATATTCATTTATCCCATTTTCATGTTTCTGATTATATTGCAGGAATGTTCATGAGATCTTATCTTACGGATAAGGCTCTCACATGGTACACAACATGGGAGAGAATGCTTTTAGAACGAGGTGCTACCATTTCGTGGAGTGGAATGCAAGAAAGACTTCTGCAAAATTTTCAAGCGATGGATTCTCTTCAAACTGCAAGAATGAAGTTGTGGGATCTGAAGTAGAAAGGAGGTATTCATGAGTACATTGAAGAATTTCGTGATCTTCAAGTATCTATCATGGATATGAGTGGAGCTGAAGCGTTGGACGTGTTCAAACGAGGCTTGAAAGATCAAATTCGAAAGGAGGTGATGGTAAGCAATCCATCTACTATGAATGAAGCAATCGCAATTGCTCAACGAATTTCAGGTGCTTTTGGTGTCACACACGGTGAACCAGTGAGCAATTTTAGAGATCCATCTGGTCCAACACCGATGGAGTTGGGAAACCTTTGACGTAGAGAAGGTTTTGCACCAACAAGAGGACCACCACCAAGATTTGGAGGTGAGATTAGGCGACCAGGAGTTCCAAATTTGCAAGAAGGTTATGCAAATAATGGAATGGTTTGAGGAGGAGCTGGAGTTCGTGACAATCGCCAATGCTATGCATGTGGACGAATGGGTCACATAGCCAAGTTTTGTCGAGTTCGGCCGACACAACAAGGAGGACGGCCCATGCAGCGACGACCGTTCAACAATATGGAGGGGATAGAGTATGAAGAGGTGGAGGAAGCAGTTTCGGGAAACGAAGATCACCAGTAATCTTGCCTCGCGGCCTTACTGGTTCTACAAAGCGAAGAAAAGGCGAGGTTGGAAGAAAGCAATGGTTGAGAGCTCATGGAAGGAGTAAGAAGCAAGCTCAACTCATTGTCACTGATGGTTTCATGGAAGGACACAAGGTGAGAGTTTTAATTGATCCTGGAGCAACTGAGAATTTTCTATCAATGAGTGTTGCTATGAAGTTAGGTTTGATGTTGATGAAGGACGTGAGTGAAGAAGTTGAATTGCCAAACGGACAAACTGAAGTGATAGAAACACTACCACGGAGTGTAGAATTATCCATAGATAGATACAAAGAGAGCATTGAATGGAGAGTAATTCGTTTAGCTCGGTATGATGTCATCCTTGGAATGCCATGGATGGAACAATATAATCCGAAGGTAGATTGGAGAAGAAAAGTGATTACAAGTAGTGGATGGAAGATCTATGGATATAGAATTAGATCTCAGAATAGGAATTTACCCCTCTTTGTGATGAGTATAGCATCAATTTCTAGAGATGATGTATGTTTCCTTGGACTTATAAGAGATATTGGGTCCACGGACAAACCTTACATCCCGGAGTCCTTGAACGACATTTTTATGGAGTATAAAGATGTTTTTCCAGATGATCTACCTGCAGGATTACCACCAAAGAGGCGAGTAGATCACAAGATTGAGGTGATACCTGGAAGTACACCAACTTGCAAAGCTCCATATCGTTTGGCTCCAAACGAATTGGAAGAATGCAAAGCTCAAGTGGAGGAGATGTTGAGCAAGGGATTCATTCAACCAAGTGTTTCACCTTATGGAGCTCCAGTACTCTTTGTGAAGAAGAAGGATGTATCCATGAGACTATGTATCGATTATCGCGGGTTGAATCAGCAAACGGTGAAAAACAAATATCCATTACCTCGTATGGATGATTTGTTTGATCAAATTCAAGGAGCGAAGTACTTCACCAAGCTAGATTTGAGAAGCGGCTACAATCAAATTCGAATTGCAGATGAAGATGTTCACAAGACAGCTTTTCGTACTAGGTATGGACACTTTGAGTATCTAGTGATGCCTTTTGATCTCACTAATGCACCAGCTACATTCATGGGATTGATGAACGATATCTTTCGCCCTTATCTAGATAAATCTGTCATTGTTTTTCTAGATGATATATTGGTGTATAGCAAAACTTTGAGTGATCATAGAAGTCATTTACGAGAGGTACTTCAAGTTTTAAGAGACAATCAATTGTATGCCAAAGCTTCAAAATGTGAATTTGGCAAGTCAGAAGTAGATTACTTGGGTCATAGAGTTACAGCTACAGGAATCCAAGTGATGAGTGAGAAGATAGATGCCATTCAGAAATGGATAGCA